CGTTGTGCGAAGGCTTGCCTTAAAAAGTATGGATCCCAATGAACAGCCTTGTGCGCGCCACTAGACTTTTATACCCCATCGGAGTCAGTAAGCAGTGACTGAGAGCCACTGATGTTTTTGTCGTTTCGGCTTACGTTCTCACCGACTGAAACCCGGATTCTGTCTGTTGTGGTTTCTGCTGCATGTACGGATAACCTGCTGCTACTGCGCAGCTGACCGTCGCCATAAATTTGTATATTCCGCTGACTGTACGGATAACCTGCCAGAATCTGCTGTGTCTCCCCCAACCACTTCAATCACGCACGAAATGAGCACACCAACGACCGGCCTGACTGAGGGATCCTTATTGTATGCGAGGATAGCGCAATAAATAGCTTGAAGGAAACTACTAATGCAACAATATTGGGGTTGCTAATTCATATCAATTAAAACAACTCGAACAGTTCATGTTCTGGGTTCGACTTGCCGCGGACCCCACATAGATTCGCGTCTGATATCTGCTCGAGTTCGATCTCCAATTGTAGATCGATCCAGTGTTGCGCCGTGGTTCTCGGCTAGTACGCTGACTAAGCTGGCTCCCCGTAACACTATCCAAGATGAATTCACTCAGCAGCTTCTTACCATTTTTCTGATAACCAAAATACGGATGTCGTATCCGTTACGGATGAATTGAATACTCAGATCGGTCGCATGTCAGAATCAGGACTTCGCTTCGTGTGATGTGTCGGGGTGGCCGCTGTGTGATATTTACCACTTCTCTATTTGCATGCGATCTTGTCAGCACGCGTTCACACCGAGCTACATGGATGCCACCAGACGATTGACCATCTTGGACTCACGTTGACAACATCACAATCACCTACAGATAGCGCAGTTCGGTGTAAGATAGACTGTCAAACTGGTACACATGTGTCGATTCTGATCATTTCTTCTTACTTGCACGTTCGATCTTCACGATTCCAACTCGTTTTCAAGCTGCTTGCCCGTTTGCCATCTTCGCAACCCGTGAAACATTTAGCTTACGAAGGAAGTGCTCTCTGACCGGTAGGTGCTAACCTTCTTTCCCATTTTTAAAAGGTCCAAAAAACTCCACGTGTTAGTCTTCGTGATGTCAGTCTTGTCTCAGTTATCTCCAAATTGCTGACAGCCATGAAGATGAAGGGCTTACTGCTTTTTGTAAGCAATTCATCAGTGAAGGTCAGGCTGTCTTTCACATCGGCAGAGAGCATTGTTCATCTCTTTACTCTTCCACATTTGCCTCAGTACATTCATCTTGACTTGAACACTGTCTCCAGTCTTTTAACTACGCCTGCCCATGGCTGTTCCTATACAACGACTGCCTTGGCCGCAACGCGTCTACGGGGAACACTCCTCCTAATTCACCACTACAAGTGAAGTGCGTCTGCCCCATCTCTGCCTCTCGCATTAAATTTGTGATTGAAGTGCTCATGATTGGCTCTTTTTCCCCCTAATTCTCCTGAACTCGTTATCTTACTGTTTGACCGGCTGTTCAAATCAGAACATGCGGACTACATGGCTTTCGAATCGAACGCGGTTGCTATGCATGCGCTGCTCATTTGGCTTATGCATATTGCTGCACGCTTAAACTCGTGCTTTGCATCATCCAGGTCGAAAGTGTTGTTACACGACTAAGCCGACTCATCTATAGTTCCCGCTATAACCGAGCAACCATTCAAATTGGTCTGTTTGCCTAAGTGAATGACCGTCTCATTACCGAAGAGTTAACTGCACACCTTGCTTGGGTTCGTGTGGTTCTATCATCTATTGAAACTGAAAGGCTTATAACACTGCATGGCTACCAGCATTGTTGGATGAATCATGGATCTGACCGCCGCACCCCGAGGACATTAAACGGGTTGACCGTTGACGTGTAGTTGACCGTCAACGCTCCGATTTCGTGGAATCACCGAGTTTGTGGTACTGCCGTCCTGCGTTTTTCGTCTAGCAACAGACCAACCATTACTTCATTTGACTTCTTTTTAACTCGGACCGTTTTCATACTTTTCGTTCTGTGCTCCACATTCTTGCAATCTGATTGCTCCTGCTTATTATTTTTCAATACTGAGCCTATTGAAGTGAGACCCTGAGATGACCGGTCATTGGCTTGGTAAGAGAACATTATGATACTCATTGAGAAGCTAAGTCTGTGTAGTACTCGCGGACTTATGTTGGACCGTCGAAACCGGCCACATCTTATACGGTGTGTTCGCTATGTTTGGATCTATCCCGGCAATTCAGCCATAACTAGTACCTTCCTATAACGCACTTGCGCGCATATAGTAAACACCAACATCTGTAGCGCCTATCCGGCTAGCTAATCGACAATATATGTTGGGCAGAAATTGCTCGCATGCCTACTCCTGCGTTTGGGGGGCACACAACTGCGTACGAAGCTCTGCGGTTTTGCTGGCATACTGATTGGATAGCCGGACAAGCGTTACAGATGCTGGTGTTTCCTATATGCGCGCAACGTGAGATCGGACTGTTGAAGTTGAACAAAGCCGCGGGACCAGATGATCTTCCTCCAGCCCTCTTCAAATTTGGAGGCTCTGCTCTTGTTGATGCTTTGCATGAATTACTAGTGAAACTGTGGGAGCAGGAAACTGTCCCAACCGACTGGAGCCGCTCCGTTATTGTTCCCATCTTCAAAGGCGGCTCGCGCTCGGAATGCGGCAACCATAGAGGAATCAGTCTGATCTCCATCGCCTCCAAATTACTCGCGTACATAATTCTCCACAGACTGACTGGCGCTCGGGGAAGCCAGATTCGTGAGGAGCAAGCCGGGTTTCGTTGGGGTCGTGGCTGCATCGACCACATCTTCACCTTGCGTCAGTTGTTGGAGCACCGTCACACATATTGGCGGCCCACCGTAGTCGTGTTCCTCGACATCAAAGGTGCCTTTGATTCGGTTGATCGATGTGCCCTTTGGAATTGTCTACTCAGGAAAGGTGTGCCCGCGAAATATGTAAATATTATCCAAGCATTATATGTGCGTAGCACGGGCAGAGTAAGGGCTTACAGCAGGCTGTCGCCACCCTTCAATATCTCCAGCGGTGTGAGACAAGGATGCCCGTTGTCACCTTTCCTATTCAACTTCGCTATTGACGAAGTCATGGAGATTGCATTTACAGGACATGACTTGGAAGGTGTGGAGCTACTCCCAGGAGAACGACTTCTTGACTTAGAGTATGCAGACGACATTGCCCTCATCTGTGACAGCTCCCAGAGGTGTCAAGCCGCGCTGGACAGATTAGCACTGGCTGTCAGTCGCTTCGGGCTTTGCTTTGCACCACCGAAGTGCAAAGCGTTCCTCCAGGTTTGGCAGGGTTCGCCCCCTGTGCTGACCCTTGGTGGGGATCAGCTAGAAGTCGTTCAGAAATTCAATTACCTGGGAAGTTGTATAAGCGCCCTTGGGATCGAAGACGAGATCACGAACCGTATAGCGAAAGCTCGAAGTGCTTTTGCTAACCTTCGTTACCTATGGCGACGGCGCGACATTACTCTCGCCCTGAAGGGTAGAGTGTACAATGCAGCGGTACGTTCGACCTTACTGTACGGTTGCGAAACCTGGCCCCTAAGATCGGCGGACATGAAGAGGCTAGTTACGTTCGACCATCGGTGCCTTCGCAGTTTGGCTCACATCTGGTGGGAACACCGCGTGAGTAACGAGCGTGTTCGACGCCTTGTTTGCGGCCTAGGAAAAGGGAATGAACCGCTCAGCACCGTCATTTCACTCACCAGGCTCCGATGGCTGGGCCACGTGTTGCGCATGCCAGCCCACCGACTCCCTCGACGTGCGTTGTTTGCTCACCGGGGATGTGGGTGGAAGAAGAGGAGAGGTGGCCAAGCGATGACTTGGTCCAGAGGAATGAAGTCCCTCACTTCGGAGCTGGCCTCAGTTGGAGCTTCACGGCTCCCTGGTTGGGGTCCAAAAGACGGTGAACACGTTTGGCTGGATACACTTGCTGATATGGCAAGGAGCCGACCTCAGGGGCGTTCCTGCTGTGAGTTTCTTTGTCCCTCCCCATCCCTTTAGCCTCCCCCTCCATCTACAATCTTATTTCGTAGGGTAAAACGCAATTAAATTTTTGTTTGTGCCTAGTAGCCGGCTAGTAGCTTACCGGAGCGATGCGTATCCGTTGCTGGTAGCTCAGCTGGCATTCAACTGTCGTATTTATTTTTCCTTTATGTATTGCATGTATGTATGTATTTCCTTTATGTATTGCGGTACAATAGCGGAGGTGTTTTACCATCTCTAACTGACATGTATAATGATGCTGATGATGATGCAAATGCGTGGATAGATCCAAACATATTGGACACACTGTAGAATGTGGCGAGATGAGAGAGTCATTAGTTCCCTTGCATTAGTTCCATGTTTTCGGCTTTTTGTGAATGAGGGAAGTGCGGTCCTACGTATTACTTTTGGGATTTCGTCTCTGCTATACCGAGTCAGACTGGCACTGTACTTCCAGGGCAGCACTAGATGGCTGATTCGTCTTCGGTTATTTTCACTTGCTCGCATTCCGTCTGCCCGACAAGATTTTACAGTTCGCGACACTTCGCTTTTGAGTTAGTGGATAAGACCAGTGGTCTACGGGCGCTGGATGGGTTGAACGGCCGCCCTTGTGACCTTGTTCTTCCGCAATCTATCAACATCTCTCTTTCCCAACACTCATTGAAGTGCCATGACAAGGGTTGTTACCCGCAGATTGCAGTATTTGCGACCTACTGGCTTGAGTCGGCATTCGCGGTGATAGTGTCTCCCTTCCTTCAGCACTGGATTGTGAATAGTGGGCCCTTGCGGACGCACATTTCCAGCAGCAAAATCCTATCGTGCCGTGGTTTTATGTAGGCCATTTTGAGCTCCACCATCCGGCTTTGTTTAGCTTGCATCAATTTCTTCATTACCCCGCAATTGACTGCATGTTTCTGTCTTGACCGAATTCTTTTTATTCCTACCGGTTTTCCTAATACAGCGCTGCAGGTTTTGCGAATTTCGCTGAACGCTCAACACAGCACAGTATTGCTCAGACACCAGAACTCGTGTATCAGTTTTTGCATACAGTTTGCCGACGTCTGCGTCCTTACGCCGCCTATTCCGCTCGAGAGCACTTGATTCCCGCTGTGCGCGAGGCTGACAGTCGTTTTGTTGATTGCAAACCGAAGATCCCTTCTGCGGGTCCACGGCTTTGGCCTTGGGATGTTGGATACTCATTGAGTCTCAATCGGCACATCGCACTCACAAACGTATGTTATTCCCCTCAGTGCAGTCGTTTGATTATTTGTTCTGGACAATTTTGTGAAATAAAGCTTATCCTACTTGAACTTTTCATGTCACGCATTTGCTTCATCATTGCGGTAGATCTCATCGACCATGGATTAGCAAGACGACAGTTTGTTGATTCAGCATTTCACCTGCCTTTCATTGTTCGTTTTACTTGTTGTCACATTCTGTTTCGAAATATATCGAGCTTCCTTTAGTATGTTAGCGTATCTTCCAACCCCGGTGCTCCTAATCTCCTCAAATTAGCCACCGATCTACAGTCAGAGCTCCACGCAGGATACCTCTGCCTACGCTCACCGTTAATCTTTCCTAATCAATCAATGGATGTTTGCTCATTTTCCTTGTCGTGTCCACAACAGTTACTACTTATTACCCGTCATTTACATTGTCTTACGAATTCGATTTGCCCCGCTAATTTGCAATGAATTGATTGGACCAGTACATGCAGCAACGGTCTTTCGAGTATTTGTGAGACGTATAACTTATCGCCAGAGTTGTCCCTCTTCATACGTGTCGGAGCAATCTAATGGACAGAGTTCGCGATTTCTTTTCCGTCCCAGGCAGTCCGTTGCGTATGTCTCATACGCCAATCGAGCTGCGTTTAAAACCTGTGGCCGGTTATCCTGCATGGCCTAATCTTAACCAGTAGGCCATTCGCCTCACTTGAGGGAGTAAAATCTGATTTTTGTGAGTGGGATTGTAATTTACCAGGAGGCCCTACCTGATGAAACCCAAGTTGTGGGTTTTGCACTAAGATTGATATCCTCATGTTATATTTATTGGAAGTGTATGCCGGCGTTACAGTCCTATCGCAGCACACCACTCATAATCATCAAACTTCGTCGATTCGCGCATTTTTTGTGCTGCATCCACCTATGACTGCTATCTTTAGGCTGGTTCATCGTTTCTGAAGTAAATCGCGCTGTTCTTTTTGACTTCCTTGTCACTTCATCTGTCTTATTTTATATTGATTTGTGTATCCTGTCAGCTTGGGGAACCTGTTCATAGCACATCTTCATTGGTTCCCGAACTGCGTGCATTTACCTCATCATTTGCACTCTTTTAATTGCTTCACTTCCACTTCCTCTAGGAACTGATCGATTACTTTTCGTTGGGCGCATGCATGGAGGGCGTCAGCCAGCTAGCCACATGCCTCTTTGGGTTGCAGTTGCGTGTGGAACCCACACAGCCCGGAGAAACGTGGCATCCTCAGGTGCTCAAGGTTGGTGTGTATCGAACCGAAGGCGGCTGTGGACAACATGGAAGTGAGTCGATTGGGACAGTCTATTGTGACCTACTCGATCGACCCGGGAAACCTGTACAGGTCTGTCTCGTTTCCAGTGAATACACGTAATTGCAAACTTGATAGTTTACAATCCACCCTCCCTCCAAGTACTAACTCTTTTCGACGACTCACTACTCATGACGCCCAGTCACTGTTACCCTTTACCTTCTGGCTACGGACACTGTAAGTGTCGGTTTGCGGTCCAAGGCTTCATCCTCTTCGTTACCTCTATTGCCTCTCTCCTTCCGGTTATTTTATGGAGGAGCGCAAATCTTGTCAGTAGTATGGCATTTGATTGCAGAGTTGGTACAATAATGATATTTTAGCGTATGTAGAAGTAATATTACGTTTCATTGTCATCTCCATGATATTTACCATGGTTATTACAGCTTTTGTGCTGCTCTACTATGTACTTGTCTTCTATATTGCAATTTCTCATTTAGAACTTTCTCACACTTCACCATCATCTTGAAGCGTTACGGGGACGTTTGTTTATTACTAACGCCGGCCCGTAGCCTAAAGGTAACGAACTTGTCTTGTAAGATGACAGCGCGGGTTCGAGCATGTGTAGGGGCAAAGTGACCTTTGCAGTATGCTTAACCCAGCTGCGACCAGTGATGGTTGTGCGGCACCGGAGCGTCGGTACGCAGTACCGATGTACTGCTGATGATTTTCTTTCTTTATTACTAACCCTGTGTTGACACCTTACACCACCAACGCAAGTTGCATTTCGAAGAATGGTACTATGTCGGACAGTTTTAGACTATGTCGTCTTCAACGTATGGAATCACAACATTGTCGCTGAACTGGTTCCATCAGGGACAAAAAATCTCTTCAACAATGCAGTTTCAGCAAGCGTGACAGCATAACAAGGCTGTAGAAAGAAGACCAACTATCTCCAGCGCGGCCAACTCTTAACCCATCAGTGTAGACGCGGAGATGCGTAAACGTCGAATCAGGTTCCGTTCGTTTGTAGCAATCTAACTGCTTGTTTTGTCACGTTCCTCAATCTCGTCCCTCTGACCGCGCACAACCATCACAAGCACGTGTCTCCTGCACCGCATCTCAATTCGGTAGCCAACTGGACGTACGGTCACCTCCGGTTGCTTGCGACCAGGTGATAGGCATGAATTTCACAAAACTCCACCATGACGTCTCCTCCACCGGGCATTTTGGTGACTAAAGGAGTGATACGGATTGCATACGTTTCCGACTTCAAGAAGCACTCATTCGACCCATGCTGTACGCGTGACCAGTTTGTTGTAGTTTTGGTCTTACTCTTCTTAGCCGGCGTACGTAGTCGACCGTCGTCACCATTCATTATACACGCCAGCTAGAAGTAAGAATCACCTCAGCTATTGCTCGGCTATAAGCCAGTGATGTAATACCTTTGCCTTCAGTTTGGTCGCTCATGATGTCAGTTAGATTTCCATAGCATGCACCTTGTTACTGTAATCTTCGTAGATGTCACGTTTATTGTACTTCGATCACTTACGATGGTCCATCCTTTTCGCAAACATGTGAGCTGCCTCTCCAAACTGTTATAAAGGAACTAGACTCAGTTTTTAAATTGAGCTAATGACGCCGAGTCTGGACTACAGAAATAAAGCAATTTGAACTATGGTTGAAATCATGTTTATTTAGTTCGTACTACTGCGCTATAGTCATCGGTCACCGTTGGTCCTCATTTTGTCAATCGCATGGAAATTTGTCGGCTAATTAGCCTAACATATGTTTCTGTCCTCTAAGCGCCCCCTTTACTGGATCGATCGCGCCGAACGACGGACATGCCTGGTAGCTCGACCTCCGTGTCTGTGATATCCGGGCGCAACCACGTCTCTGTTATAGCCACTAGGTCACACGATTTGGACCTTTGACGTAGTCGCAGTTCGGGTAGTTTGTTAAGTAGACTTTGAGCGTTAGTGTACATACAGGACAGCTGCTTGAGTATCAAAAGAGCTTGTGGAGGATTACACGAAGTTGGATTTTAGCCGGCCGATGAAAGGCCGGCACCTGATCGTTTTTTGCGCAGTTTATCGATGAACATTTTGCACGGGCCTGCAGCCCGCCTAACGTCGTTCCAGCACACGCAGAACGCTCTTCAATAGCGTCGTTTTCAGTGGTTGATAATGTTGATGCAGTGTCTTCAGCTCCGTTTATTTTATCACATTGAGCCACAGATGGTGTCACATCCTCCGGTGGCTTCGATTCAATAAATGGTACCTTAAATCGTAGTTCCCATGGCAGTGCGTTGTGCATTTTATGCCAGTTACGCATTAAGTTCGCCGCCATCTGCTGGGACTGAACCACAAGTTTCAGTATCCTTGGACCATTACCTTTGTAATGAGGTGAAACGGGCAGTCTAGAAATCGACTGAAGGATGACGTCGCCTGCAGATAGAGTTTCACGGATGTACCGCCATTCTTCCAGATCGTGAGCATGAGCCTGCTCGTCCCTAGCTGTTGGTAGCTCGGGCACACCATGAAATAAAATGGTTTTTCGCCAGCTGGCCATGTTGCGGTCGTCTAAATTGTTTTTTTTCTCGCTGACGTTCGCTCCATGGAACATCCGGAAAGATGCGGACCTTATTGTCTTCACCTCGGAGGTGATATGCCGATAAGAGCACCGCCTCTACATCGTCAGTGGATGCCAGTGTTATCCTCAGAATTCTGGGCTCACCATAGTGAACGGAGTTTGGATGTCTCGTCACACGCGTGATGTTAGTCGGCTTGACCCTAGCACCTATGCGATCGTAAATGAGATTCCACTGGTTCAGATCGTCCTGTTGCTTACCTCTCAGAGAATTTGCTTTGGATTCAGGAACGTTGGTGCATATGAGAGTTAGAGCACCGTAGTTTATCCTGGTGTTCGGTAATGTGGGAGACGTCGTGATGGATGGACTAAAACAAGTCTCTGAATTTCGTGCTTGGTCTTTTACACATGTCGCAGATATTGTGCTTCAAGTCTTGTTTACAGTGTCACTAGCAATAGTCGCTGCGTAAGTTGATTGGCCTTTAGAGATACTCAGACTTTGTTGGTCAGTCGGAAGTCTGATTCTTACCGAGGCTTTGAATAAGGGCGGAATGGCTGAGGAACTGAGGATGTTTTGTTCGTACGTGATGCCTGATTGGTTCGGGGTTCCCAAGATATTCGCCGCTGTGATTTCGCGAGAACGTCTGGCTCTTTTCTTCGGTTTAGTGGCGGTGAGTACGGGAGATGGTGGAGATACAAACCTTGTTATAATAGCCTCTAAGGAAATAATTCTTTCATTTAGGCGTAATTCTACTTCTGCAATCCGACGGTCGTAATCTTTCGACAAAGCAATTACGCATTTTACCATGGGAAGCGTTGTGCAATTAAGACAGAACGAAACAGGCTCGGACAGATTATTTTGCTTGTTAGCCTCAGTAATCGGACTATGATTAACGGAACACAACGCACAGTGCTGGCCCGATTCCACTGTCTGGGCAAGTGACTCATCTCCACTTGTAACTTCTCCCCTTGTTACATTGGTCATGGTCGACTGCAGCGGAGTGGCACGGCCCGGTTCACGGGCTAGTTTGGTGTCGTGCGTGGTAGGTGTGCTTCGCCGTCTTGTCCGCTTTTAGTCGGAGGACACGTTGATCGACTTACGCGTGATGGGCCTGTGCGTCATGCGGTCACGTTTGAATATGCCGTGTAGGACTTGCTTGGGTTGTCTGAGTGATTGAATTGATCTGGCCGGGATGGGATGGCGATCGTGAATTTTTTGCTGGGCGCTTGAGTGCGCAAGTTAAAAATGAATTTCTTCTGTAACTGTTATGCACAGTGGTGCTGTGAAGCGACTGAAGACTTGTTAGCAAGCGGAAAGATTTCTCTATCGAATGATGTAAAAATCCGAAGGGTTGTAAAAAATACACGAAAAGCTGCAGACTGGAGAGGTTTTGCGTGTGAAATTCCCCGGCAAACTCCGCGAAAAACACAGACACAAACTAGAGGTTGAAGCGATGGGAATAATCCGGGTGGAATGGATCCACCGTGTAGAGAAGATGATTCCGAGTAGAATGAATGCACGCTAGGTGCTGTGCAGTGAAATGGTGATGAATGGTTCACAAAAAGGCGAGAGCCGCGAGGATACGTGACAACACGTCGGTGATGGCTGCCATCAAGTTGCGCGCTCAGATAGGCCTTGGTGTAAATGAAAAGAGGACAACTAGCATTCCGATGGTGTATCGTCGCCTATGTTGCGCAGACAATTGCAGTAAAGTCCTTAAGATCTGAAAAACCGTTCTAGCTGCATTAGCTCATACTGTCCGCAATGGGTAGGCGAATCCGTCCAAGAAGGGAGACAGACAAACAAAGTTACTGACACAATTTGGTTTTGCCCAAACATGTCAAGTCATACCGGTTGTCAACTGTTTATCTTTGCTCATGAAAAAGTGCGATAGAATGACCGAGATAATCGTGCATTTTGTAAATACTAAGATCGATTACACGTAGGTAATTATGGCTAAGATAAGAGCTAAAGCAAGCTCTGAATCTAAGCCGAAGGAAAGAGCTAGACGCTCTAACTGCACTGCAGCATCTGTGACGCTAAAGCCATTGGGCCACCTCACTTTCATAAGTGTACAAGCCCCAAAACATGCCTCCTTTCACTTCTCCAAACATAGACGCTTCACCTAAAGCTTCAGGCGTGACACCGACAGACCAGAGCCGAAGATAATCCAGTGCAGATAACAAGCAGGTAACGTACGCATCGATTGCCTTGACAAACACACCGGGAGCGACACACGTAGGTCCATGTTCTGTACCGAGCACACGTGGAGCAACGCTGCTTTCACCGGCAACTCCAGTGGTGCCCTGTATACAACCCAAATTGCCAGCAACAACGATGAAGCCGACACTCGCTAGCCACAACCACGCTGCGTTAACTCTCGTGTGCACCAATGTTCCCGAGTCCAACTCTGGCATAATAAAAGGCAAGTTGCTATACGATCGCAACAAGTGGAGTTCCATCTGCGAGGCGATTAGTATTCGAGTTGAGCCTGCAATGCTACAACGCGTAGCGCGTCATCCGACCTCAGTGCACT